AATGAATTAATGGAAATCTAAGTTCTGTATAATCTTTGGTTAAAATTTCAAGAAAAAATTTAAAAAGAAAATAGAGTTGGTGGGCCAGCAAAAATACAATGGCCTGGCAATCTCATAATACTGATGTTATTATTTTTTTTAAAAAAAGGATAAAAACAGTAAAAAAGAAATGCAAAACTAGGGGAGCTCTGGCGGACAAGTGGCAGGAAGCTGTGCTGCAATCTCGAAAGCTCATGGTTTAAAACCACCAGATTCTCTGCTGGAGAAGGAGGAATAATCTTCTCCTGTGCCAGCCAGATCTGATTCAATGGTACACAACAATTTAAAAAAGAAAAGAAATGTAGAATTATTTTGTTTCTTTTTATTTTCTGACTCCAGGTCTTTTCACATTTCATTATGATACTTTGCTTTGTCTTCCCAAGCTGTCCTTTGAAATCTTCTGTTCAGCTCCTTAATTTCCCTTTGCTTTGGTTCCCAGAATTTTAATGCAATACTCATTGTCTCTGCTGACATCCATCTCGATCTTCTCTTATTGTCTTTGTAATTAATAATATTACTAAAAACACACACAAGCAAAATTCTGTTGAAGATATTAAAAAAAAGACAAAGAACCAGAAATACACACTGCCTTTAAGAAGAGGCTGTGGCATTAAGGACATCAAAACCAATGTGAGATAGATCTTGGCTGAAAACAGAGTACCAGAAGAATGTCTGTCTGTGTTTCATTGACTATACAAAGGCATTTGGATATGTAGATCACAACAAATTGTGATTAATATTGAGAAGAATGAGAATTCCAGAATAATTAATTGTCCTAATGCGGAACTTATACCTAGATCATGAAGCAGTCATCAGAAAATAGCAAGAAAACAATGCACAGTTCAAAATCAAGAAAGGTGTGTGTCAGAGATGCATCCTGTCTCCATACTTTTTCAATCTGTATGCAGAATAGATCATTTGAGAGTCTGGACTTTGTGAGAAAGAATGTGGCATCAAGATTGGAGTAATACTGGCCAAAACCCTGCATTATGCAAATGATATAACTTTGTTTGCCAAAACTGAGTATCTTTTTTGCAAAAGATCAATATGAATTGAAACTCAACATCAAAAAGACAAAGCTTCTCAGTACTAAGCAAATTGGCAGATCTATAAAAGATGGAGAAAAGATTGAGATGTTAACATTTTTCATTTGCTTGGCTCCACAACCAACACTCTGGGCACCAGCAGTCAGGAAATGAAAAGATTAATTGTATTAAAATCTGCTGCCAGGGACCTCTCCAGAGTGCTGAAGTGCAACCATATTGATCTGGTGATTAAGGTGCACCTGATTCAGGTGATGGTCTTCGCAGTCGCTTGCTATGCATCAGAAAGGTACATGACAATAACTGAAGATGATAGAAGAAGAATCAACCCCTTTGCTTTGTGGTTCTGGAAAGAAGTATTGAACATACTATAGAGTGCAAAAAGAACAAACAGGCTCACCCTGGAAAGGGTGAAGTCAAGTTTCTCCTTGGAGGCAAGGATTTTGGAGCTCTTTTTCACATACTTTGGCCATGTTTCCAGGCGAGACCAATCCTTGGAAAAGGACATTATGCTTGGAAATATGGAGGGAGGGTGCAAGAGAGGAAGACCCCTGAATAGACGGATTGGCACAGTAACTGGGTAATGAAGATAGGGGTGTTAGAGACAGTGAAATGAGCTCTAGATAGGACACAATTCAGAACTATTGTACATAGTCACTATGAGTCAAAAGTGACTTGACAGCACATAACAACAACTGTTGGCGTTCTACCAATTCATGGAGCCTTATTTTTTTGCCATACTTTCAGTACATTTTTAATTTCTTCCATTACTGTTGACTATTGTTCATTTGATACTTCCTGAAATATTTTAGTGTCAATCAAATATTTTTTATACAGTTGCTGTGTATTCTTTCCATCTTCTTTTAAGCCTTCCTGAATAATTCAAGATTTTGCTCATAGCATCTCTTATTACTGCTACTCAAGGCTTGAATTTTTTTCTTTCAGTTCTTTGAGTTTGAGAAATGCCAAGCAAGTTCTTCCCTTTATACTCTCTGACTCCAGATCTTTGCACATTTCATTATAACGGATTGGATAGATATGGGGAAAGGAAATAGCCCTGACACCCACGTTTCCTGATTTTAAATCATGCAGTGTTCCCTTGCTCTGTTCAGAAAGGTCCTTCTTGGATTAGGTATACATTTTGATTGAACCTAATTAAGTGTTCTAGGATTTCCATTCTTCTCAATGTAGATATAATTTGTTATGATAACACAGTCATAAGTCTTTGCATGGATAATGTAAAAAAAAAAAGATACATCTTTCTGATGATCTTTGCTTTCAGCAAAAATCCATCTGACATCAGCAATTATATCCCTCCTACACACACAACAGCTTCTTCTAAATCCAGCCTGAATTTCTGGGAGTTTCCTGTTGATGTACTTTTCTAGCTGTTTTTAAACATCAACATAAAAAAAAATTTCTCATCACCAGACCAATAGTTGACATTATGATAGATGGAAAAGATACAACAATTGTCAATTATTTAATCTTGCTCTCAAGGACTTCTGCAGTGTGCTAAACAGCAATGAAGTCAGTCTCTAGAGACTAAGTCTTGGGGAGAACCTACTTTCAGAGTCTGTCATTCCAGCTTATGGGATCCCAGTGGGCCTTGCCAACTGAGTCAGAGAGCAGGGAAGGCTGATAATCCAATCATGGCCCAAGAATGGGCCTACTAAAATCTGGTCCAGCAGCAGCCCTGCCTGGCTAGGGCCTGTCCCAAGAAAAAATTGAAAAAAAAGTGACTGTCGTGTTGTTAGATTCATAATGTATTGCTATCTTCTGAGAAAAAGAAAGGAAAAATGTGAAAAGTCATTGTACTGAAAAAAAAAAATAAAATAAAAAATTAAAAAAAAAATAAAAAAAAGAGACCAAGTTGCACCTGACCCAGGCCATGGTCATCTCAATTGTTTGCTATGCATCTGAGAGCTGGACAACGAATAAGAATAATCGAAGAATAAATGTATTTGAGTTGCAGTGCCAGAGAAAAGTATTGAACATACCATAGACTGCCAAAAGAACAAACAGGTCTGTCTGGGAGGGAGTGAAACCCTCTTTGCGCCTCGGAGGTGAAGATTTTGAAGCTCTGTCTCACATACTTTGGGTAGGAGGGACCAGTCCTAGGAGAAGGGCATCATGACTGATAGGGTTGAGGGTCAGTGTACGACAGCAAGACCCTGAAAAAGATGGATTAACACAGAGACTGTGGCAATTGGGGTCAGGAGTGTCAGAGATGGTGAGAATTGCTCAGGACAAGGTAGGATTCAAAGCCATTGTTTTTGGGAGGGCTATGAGTCAAGGTCGACTCAATGGCACATAACAACAACAAAATACTACATTAATTCAGTATATACAAGATTGTTTTCCTAGCATAAACTACTAAAATCCCTTGTGAATAAGTGTTTTGTTATTACTTTATAAACATAAAAAAATAGTAGAGGTTTCTTTTTTTCTTTAACTTTTCTCCTGTTTGCATTTCTTAACCTTTAAAAAAAATTGCAAGTTTTCTTGAAATAAAGAGCTAAAGTCCATTAATTTTCTGTTTCTCCTTGTAACTAAGTATTTATGTTACTTATGTATTCACATTGGACTTAAGTATTTATGTTACAACTAACATACTTGCACCTAATTTTTTGCACCAAAACTGACAAACATATGCAGGTAGTTACTAATTTATGGTGTGTTCAAGTTATATCAATGAACTCCACTTAGGGCCATCTGTATTTTAGGGGATTTGGAGGTACATTTTATTCTTTGTAATATGTAGTTCATATATCATTACTTTTTCTAATGTTCTTAGATGTTTACTTGCAGATGTTCAGTTTTGTGATTCACTAACATAAAGCAGGCTGTGGCCTATTGTTGTTCTTGCTATGTGCTGTTGTGTCACCTGCAACTCATAGAGACCCTATGCACAACAGCTCTAAACCCTGCTATATCCTGTGCCAGACTCACTGTCTCCAACACACCTACCCCAATGACCCCAGTCATTGTAGGAAACTAGTTTTTATTTTAAATACTAGTAATAGTATGAAATTAACACTTTGTACCTTGAGCAGTAAAGACTGTCTTTGCAACTGATAAAATAATGAAAACCTAACCTCCCAGGAAGTGGATACTAACCTTTTCTAATCAGTTACTCACCAATTACTCATGTGCAAGTTCAAAGTGTAGCTAAAGAAAATGAAAACAATTCCATCAGACACAAAATATACCCTTGAGTTTATCCTACTTGAATTTAGAAATGATCTCAAGAATAAGTTTGAGGCATTGAACACTAATGATTGAAGACCAGAGGAGCTGTGGGATGACATCAAGGACAACCTCCATGACGAAAGCAAGAGGACATTAAAAGACAGAAGAGAAAGAAGATGCCGAAATGGATGTCAGAAGAGACTGAAAACTGCGCTATAATGTTGAGAAGCTAAAATTCAAAGGAAGAAATAACAAAATAAAAGAGCTGGGCTGAAGATCCCAAAGGACAGCTTGAGAAGACAAAGCAAAGTATTATAACAGAACGTGAAAAAAGAACGTTTCTTTTCTCTTTATAGCCTTTCTGCACCACCACCCCTTAGCTATCCATACATACCATCGACGTTTTTATCATTCACTTTTTTCTAAGTGATATAAAATTTTCAAAGGAATCACAGTCATCTTGGCTTATGATATTTTTATTGCATTTTGTACAAATCTAGGTTGATGGTAAGATTTGTATTTGACATTCAAGCGTTAGAATCTTGGTAAAAGGAAACAACAGATTTCCTTGTGGCAGTTATTACATATCCACAAGCTTAGGAAAGGAGCACTCTCACCTCAAAAGCCCTCATTTTAAGGAGGCTGAGGAAGCATTGGACTAGACAATGAGGCAGCACTGTGATTAAAGAAGTGTGAAACTGACACCTACTGGTATTTGCTCTTGTCTTAACAAAAAGAGCTCAGATCAGCCATGCTGCAGCCCTCAGTGCAGCAGAGGAGGGAGAGGTCTCTCCTTGACTTCACTGGATGCTTCCTGGACCCCCACACCCCTCCAGTGGGCAGCAGCCCACCCCGACGAAAAGACTCCACTGCAGACTCCAGCTTCCCAAGGTTCTGTGCTGCACCTTCTTCCAAAACATCTTGTTCACCCGGGAAACGGAAGTGGTTTGTTTGCTCCTCTTTGAAGGAAAAAACCAAAAAAATTTTATTAGAGAGCCCTCATAAAAAGCAGCAGTAAAGTGCTATGTCATATCTAGAAACCTCTCAATATTAAAATGATAATGGTAATTTTTTTCTCTTCTTAAAACACATGGAAGTTCCTTTTAAAAAGGTATTAACCCACCAAACTATTTGAGCACTGTATCATTCTTTAAAATACTTTTATCAAAGTCCCTTTTCTAACTCAAACTAAAGCCCTTTACTACAATTGTATGCATGATTGTAATGTTTATAATAAAAATTATTTTCTTACTTTTTATTAAAAATATAGTAGAATTGTTTTATTATTAATATAAAATCCTCAATCATTTTTATCCCATCCTTTAATATAGAATTAACAGAAGTAATTTCAAGCTAACGTCTAAATAAGCTGACCTTAAAAAAAAATACAATTATGTCACCTCCTTACTTTTTCTGAAATACATAAAGTACAGAACCACCTTCATACTCTAATCAGAAATCTCCATGTTAGAATTCCCACCCAGTTTCACCCTCATTCTTTGTAACTTCTACACATTTTTCAGGGCCTCTTTCAAATGGCACCTTCACGTTTTACCACAGCCTGGCACCTCCTATTTCCCACCGTAGAAGCAATAAGGATTAAGTGAAAGGCCTCTGCTCTTGAAACCAGAAACACCCAATTTGCCTTCTAACTGCACTGCTTACCAGTTGAGTGAACAACTTTCTTTTCTCAGTCTGAGAAGATCCAAAGTGAAAACCAGGTTGCCAGTGAGGTGACTAATTCATGGCAACCTTCTCTGTTTCAAAGAAATGTGGCTATCACTTTTCAGCAGATGTGATACTTCTAAAGCAAATTCTTGCAAAGTCTTTCTGGATAGACTCAAACCGCTAATTTTTGATTTGTGTAGTGCTCAATCATCTGTGCCACCTAGGCACTCTGGTCTAATCGGAATTTCACTGGCTTCACAATATCTTGATAGACAAGTTAAATGAAATATTTCATATAAAACTGCTAGTGCTTAATAAATGCATAATAAATATTGGGGTCCATATTAAATATTCTTATTTAAAACTATCTTATTCTATATTGTCGTTGTTGTTATGTACTGTCGAGTCGCTTGTGACTCATAGCGACCCTACGTACAACAGCCCTGAAACCTGCTTTATCCTGTGCCAACTTTACTGTCTCTGACACACCTACCCTCACTACCCCAATCACTATATCAACCCATCTTATCCAAGTATAAAAATCTCGCTACTTAACCCAACAAGTCCCTCTTTCCCCACTGCACCTGACTAGGATTCTGGGCTTATCAAATAATTTCAAGGATACTATAAAACAATGTCCTCATTTATTAAAATGTAACAACCCAAGCTCGCATCTTCTCCTAGTCAAATTCAAGTGTTATTTCTACACACCTCCCTGCCCCATAACCAATTACCTAAGTTGAAATAGTACTTAGGAAAATAGCATTAAAACAAACCTGAACTATTAAAAATAAGGAATGATCTATTTTTAAACTAAAACAATCTATATAAGACTTTTACTTAGTCTTTTACTTTTGAGTAAAAGATAAAGATTTACTTTAAAACAAAATGAGAAAATAAAGAGGTTGTGAAGAAGATAATATTGACAAATTGTGAAAAATATAGCTGAATAATTTGTGTAGAAATTGTCAATTGGAACCTAATTTGCTATGTGAACTTTCAGGAAAAAACACATTCTTATTTTAAGAATTAGGAAACAAGCTGATTCACATGACCTAGCTGACCTTGAAGACTCTCCTCCAGGTCCCTTCTCCAGCGGGAGGCACCGCAGATGTAGATGATCGCTCTGATGAAATCTTTCCCGCAGAGTTTCAGGGACTCCTCACTTCTTACTTCAGAGACAGCAAGCAGGACAGAGAATAAAAACAAAGTGAAAATGCAGCCCTTCATTTTGTTGAGGATAAAGTGAGAGCCTGATGTGCTGAGTATTGTCACATCAAGTTCTGAAGTTAACTCTCAGTCGTTGCTACATTTATACTATTTTTCCTGACATTTTATTGGCCAGACCTCATTTTAACAATATTTGCTAACTTACAAGTGTGACACTGTGAAGTCTTGATGATGCACTTTTATGCTTAGTGCTGGTGATTCAGTCACTTCCGAACACCATCAATTACTTTTTGTTTCACCCCTGAAACAATAAAGCGAACACAGGAAGGCAGGACAGCATCATGGAAAACGTGAACTTTAGCGGTAACTAAGTAGAAGCTCCAGTCCAACTTGTCACTTGTTGACTGAAAACCTACAAAATTATTCTTAATTCTTTGAATATCAAAAGTCTTATCTCTAGGACTGAGACATTTTCATCATCCAGCTGGTTTCCTGAATGGCAAAAGCAGCATTTTATATCAAAACGATAAGAAGCTATACTTAAGAATGCAAGATCTCATGTCCAGGGTTTGAATTCTGATTTCCCACTTACCAGACACAGCCTTGTAAGCAAATATTATTTCACCTCCTCAAGCTTCCTTCTTCATAAAACTTTGCTGAAAACAATATCCACCTCAAAGAGTTAATGAGAAAATTTGTGTCTTTCTTGGCTGCCTTTTCCCCCTGGGGGCCTCCTGTATTGTAGTTCATAGAGGGTTGCGCTGCTAACCCAAAGGTCATGCCTGTCTGTAGGTTTGGAACTACCAGCAACTGCAAGGGAGAAAGATTGGCAGTCTCCTGCCATGAGATTTACTGCTTCAGAAACCAGAGGCAAAGAGTTTTGAGGTTCTGGGTGTTTTCCCAAATTATTGGCATAGCCTAAAAAAGATAACTTTTGAAGCCAAGAGAATTTGTTTGATTAAGATCTTCATAATAAAGTCAGATTACTCTATAAGCAAAGACTTATTTATTAAACTGTAGTAAACCTTCTCCCCCCCCCATCAAATATATTCCTTGTAGGTATGACTTGCCCTCTCTCTCTTTCTCATTCAAACCCACAGAACTTTCTTACAGAATCAAAACAAATTTACACTCCCTGAGAGAGAATTTAGTAAGCAAAATAAAGATGTGCTGACGTGTCTTTACTTACTACCCATGTTTAGCTTGCTTACTGTGTAACCCACCCTTCTCCTTGTTAGCCTTCACCCTGACTTATGCCTTTATCAGCACACATATAAACAACAGAAACATTCTAATAGAAACTTTCATCCATAATCCCAAACAGTAAATAACACCTAATCCTAATCTATTGACTCATTATTCAGCTTTTTGAACTACGAAAATAGTGAAAAAATCTACTATCTGTTTTGCTTATTAACAATGCATGTCTGATAACAAAACTCCAGTTTTCTATTGGATTCTGTGTCCAAGTAGAAAATAAGCTCATGCTGCATGGGTTTTCACTGTCTACAAGAGTGTGTGTGCAGGTTCCTTGAGTCACTGGGGTGCCAGACAGAAGGGGACCTGTGAGTCCTAGTTATCCACAGAACAGCAGCAGCAGGTGTCCTTAATGTGGGCTGACCTTGGGGCCAAAAAGGAAATAAGATGCCAGGATCTGGCTTCATTCCCAGGCCTGTTAAATTTGTAGGAATTGATGCCTCTGTGGTCAGGAGAAAGCCTGAGAAGGAGCCCCAAGGCCATAGAGCCCCATGTCAGTTGACTGATGTACATGCAGCCCATTAAGTTTGTGTGATGGGTCCTCTTGGGTACACAGACTACCTAGGTAGAGGTAAGGTAGAGGTAAGCAAGTTGCCAGTGACAGCTGTAGTTTAAAGGACAGAAGCCAGATCTGATAGGCACCAACTCAGAGGACGCTCTGGATTGTTGACTCTCATAGGAGCATGAGGCACAGAGAAGTAAGGCCACCCAGGAAGAGCTGGGGGAATTACCAGTGTGGGGCCAGCAGGAGATCGAGATCCAGCAGACAGTGAGCACTCCCCTAGGAACCCAGGCCCTTCTGCCCGTGAACAAGAAGCCTCTTGCCCTTAACAAAGTCAACAAAAGTTTTTATTTTAGGGATTTTGCTTGTTTGTTTTATTTTATACCGGTTAACTTACAAAGTTCATGTACATTGTTTTTCACACCTAATCTTTCCCATTTCCTTTACCCACCCCCCCACCCATCAAATTGTGCAACCCTATGATTACACCACACCCCCACCTATCTTCACCCCTCTGCTTTCACTCTTGTCCCTTTAGACCTTCATATACATTTTACTAGTATCTATTTCTACAATAATGGTCTTATACAGTAACCAAAAGTGTTTTGTAGTTATCGAAGAAATCAGCTAGAAACATAATGAAAATACATTGAAGGCAGAAGGGCAAGGGTTCCTGGGGGTGATGGTTAGAAGTGATTGTGGCAGGTAACTTTGGCAAGGACACAGCTGGATGAAATGTTCACTATATATAGATGACATGGTGAGGTGATGTAGTCATCTTCCATTGCCCCCACCAAAATCCAATTTTCTCCTTTTGTCAATTTCTATGAGGAGAAATGTGGGGTCAAGATTGGTGGACGATTT